TCACAAAACATTTTCACAAGTATAATCTGATTTAATTTTTCCCAAAACCAACTAAGTTAGTTACAACAGATATTACATTTTCTAGTTTTTAAAAATCTTTCCTAGCTATTTTTTTCTTTTAATCTTTGCTATAGCAGTGAAAATAGCCAATTAGATTTGAACACAGTTTTCTTTCGTAAAGAAAATCCTTAGAATCTATACCTTGCTGCTTTTTTTTCTATGAGGGAGTTATTTTGTTTTTATTGCCAATGCTGAAAAGCATCACATCATCTCTTAGGACTTAGGTTAGCAATAATTCTCTCTCAGCAGGATTGGTATAGAAAAAGTCTCCTGGAAAGTTTAGTTTTGGCCAGCTATTTCACATTTAATTGAATATGTTTATCTTAATAGAAAAAGAAAAATGTAGATTTTGCTTAAAGTATGGTTAAGTTTACCAGCTTGGCAAGGACTTTAAATGCCTGAATTTTCAACACAAGCAAAATGCATGTTTTCTAAGGAAAGGCTGCTCCTCAGTAAGCCAAACACAAATCATTAATCTGCTGCTAAATTTAAGGAGGTCATCCATGATACGAAATATGATTTGGAAATATTTTAACCATTTAGCATTTAGCCAATGTATGCTGAATGCTATTTACTCTAAAGAGACAACCATCAGGAGTAGGCTTGTATCAATGAGTCACCAGAATTTATGTTCTACAACAGTACACGTTTCCTAGCTGTCAGGCTTACACAGACCTTTTGGAAGACCTTGGGGATAGACAGTCTATGATGATGCCACACGGAGAAAATAATTGCTCTTTTCAGAGAACACAGTGGTATGTTGGACAAATGTTACAATCATATTAAAATTAGAAATATTGGACCCCAGAAGTCTATTAAGTATCCCTGATTTCTTTTATTATGGAATAAAGAAAACCCATTTAAAAATATTTTTAATTAAGTAAAAAATGGAAGTAACAATGCTGATCTTTGATTCTATAAAATGTCAGTAATCTTCCCAAAATTATCATATAATGAAAAAATATTTTACGTAGTCTCAGAACAGCACAAGACATACAGCTTTCCCAAGTTCTAAAGAAAAAGACAATTTGGATTTTTGTAGACAATTAGATAGTACTATTATAATTATACTCAATATTTACAGTACAACTCACAAAGGTAACTCTAACATAAATATATTATCTCAGAAAAAAAAAAGACTTGATTTCACTAGTTTTAGACTGTATTTGGCAATCTTTTGTAGAGTCTTAGATGAAGCTTTCAATGAATGCTGTAACTGTAGAATGACATATGACTTAACACAGAATCAGGATATGTAGGCAAATTACCTATCTCAATTGAATGGGTAAGCCTAGGCTGTTTAATCAAGATCTCCAAGACCCAACTAAGCTGCCATCCAGATGACTGCCTCATTTCATCCCAAGAATTTCTCTTTGCAACCCAAATCCTAAACAAGTCATCATTCTACCATTAAAATAACCTTTACTGACCCTCTTCTCTGACCACTGAGACCGACAAGAGCTTTGTTTTAGACTATCAGGTCCATAAACCTTCTTCCTCTCCAGCTAGGTGCCTCAAAGATCTTCCCACACACCATTTTACCAAACATACTCCTAAGCCCCAGGTTCCTTCCATTTCCTACCAAGAATTTAAAGAGTTCTTTCTTCATTCAAACAGCCCCTAAAATAAAATCTTCTTCACAAAGGGTAAGTGGAAAAAATGTTTCCTCAAAATGAAAATATTTTATGACTACTCAATAATATGCACTTTATCAATAAGCATTTGCTTAATATTGTATTTTTTTTTCCCAAACATCTACTTTTTCAATGTGTTGACTCCATGATTTTAAAAACATTCTATCTAAGCTTATTAGCTTCCAGAGGACTGGCACCAAATGTTAACTCACATGGAATAATAGGTAATACAACAAATGCCATGCTAGATTATGCATAAATGTTTAATGCTTTTGCTGCTGAGCCTCTGAATTCCAGATTCTATCTCTTAGTTTTGTAGTTTTAAAAGTCTGATCCTTTACACCTTGAGATAGTTTATAAAAGTCACTGTAAGGAGATAATACAATCTAGTGGCTATGAGTGGGCCATGGAGTCAGAAGACTTAGGATCATATTCCAATTCCAATTCCAATGCCTATTACCTTGAACAAGTTACTTAAGCCTAAGCTTTGGTTTTCTTGTGTGTAAAATAAAGACAACCCAACAGTATCTACCTCAGGTTACCGAGATTAAAATATATAATGTATGTAAATACCTATGTGTGCCTGGAACACAGCAGCACTTAAGTCACTAAATTTTTTTTTTTTTTACGGTATGTGGGCCTCTCACTGTTGTGGCCTCTCCCATTGCGGAGCACAGGCTCCGGACGCGCAGGCTCAGGGGCCATGGCTCACGGGCCCAGCCGCTCCGCGGTATGTGGGATCTTCCCGGACCGGGGCACGAACCCGTGTCCCCTGCATCGGCAGGCAGATTCTCAACCACTGCGCCACCAGGGAAGCCCAAGTTACTAAATTTTTAAAGACATTTCCTTTATAAAACTTAGCTGCAGAATGGATAGAATATTCATGTGGAAAAAACTACTTCTATAATTTCATGTAAATACAAAGGAAACAGGTTGAATGAATCTCTAAAATAACAATGGTTACTATTCCTAGAGATCAGGTGACAGTTATGTCCTAGTCTGCCCAGGCTAGTTCTGAATTACACCTGTTGTGCCAAGATTTATAATAGTCTCCCCTAAGCTCCTTCACTCTCAGGTAACCCGGTTTAGATCATAAAATATATGGTCAATTGTGTTGGTCATTAAACTTTTTTCCCCACAGCTCCAAACCACTATTCTGTATTCAAATGTGTAACAGTAGGGTTGGAACTGTGTAAACTACATTTCCCCTTTGCCAGCTGAATTTTTTTAAGCTCCACTAAAAAGAGGACTAGAAGAATAAAACAGGAAGGCAGGAGGGGAAAAGACTCTTTTGCTGTTTCCAGTTTGCCTGGAGTTCCCGTCAGCATCCCCAGGGCAACAGTTCTTCCTTCCAGGAGCAGCACTTGGTTCCATCCTCCAGCTTTTTCTCAAGATTCCCCAAACCAGCCTCATCATTCCCCATCAACATTAGCACCACCTACCAGTGCCCCCTTCCTCAACCATCTCCGAGTCTCTGCTCCATAGGACCTCTCCTCCCAGCTTCTAGTTTCCAGTAACTACAACTTTTACCCTCAGCTATCCCAGTGTTCCTTTCCTGATTTTTTTTTCTTTTTTTTGTTCTTCAGCACCAATTTAACCTATTCCCTATATTACACTCTGTGAAAATATCCAGTTGTGCTCCTCTTGATGTCTGAGGTCTAACTGAAACTGATACTATTCAGAGGAATGGGAGTGGAGCTGGCAGTTAAAAAAAAAAAGAATTTTCACTTTTACTTTATATATTACTTATGTAATTTGTTTAACTTCATATTTTAAGTGATTTTTGGAAACTCTTTTGCCTTCTTCACATTGGTCTTCAGAACATTAGAAATTATCTTTATTTAGTGTAGAACACATCACTAGCAATTCCCAAGAGAATTTACATCCAGAGATTAGCATCAGACAGAATAGTTTAGGGAGTTGAGGAAATTAGCAACTCAACTGGATCATCTAACTCATCATGGTGTTTGCTAATGCAAGACCATTAACACTGGCGCATCAACTAAATTTGAAAGTCTTCCATTAGAAGTGCTGTATGAATTTCCTGCAGCGAACGATTAAATAAGCCTAGTGCAGTACCCATACCACATATTAACTGCATAACAAATATGTTTTTGATTTCCTCCCCACCCCAACTACCTACCGCCAGACCCTAATCTAGGAGCTGTTAAGAGGCACATAACTTAAAGTAGGCTTTGATGGTTTACATATAAGAAGAGATCTTAGCTGACAAATCCCAAACTATCAAAGCTTACCAGGATACCAGAACAGCAGATGCAGTAGGTAAGTTTAGCAAGAAAGTTATTTTCTTACATCATGAAATGCCATTGTATAATAAATATAACTATAATAGTAAATGACTAATACCCACCTCCACTTCCTTCTTGTTTAAAGCAAATTCACTCCTTTCTTCTTATTGCCACCTCTACTAGCCAATTTTATAAGCCTCTGACTCTACGGTTATTAACACTGGAAAAAACTTGAAAATAATTCATACCCTTCTGTAGGTGAAAGCTTTCACAAACATAAAGAACTGAAGTGAGCACTCTTCCCTCAACCCACAGTAAGAAGAAACAAAATGCTGGCATCCCAAGGAGTAACCATTTATATTAAGAATAAAGAAGTTATCTCTGTAAGTGACAAAAAAGTACCTTAGGTTACTTATTCCAATAAAGTGGTAGAAGACTAGCAAGCCTAGATACATGTTTGTGTTTTATTCTTCATTTTCTTTATTCTTCAACTTCCTGGAAATCAACATATTTTGTGATTGAGATATAGAAGGCAAATTCATCAGTAAACGTGATACAATTTTTTAAATTTCACAGTCTATTTGTTGCCCTGGATATTGGTATTACTGTGAACACTGATTTCATATTCAAAACTGAATTTTAATATGGTGAACAATTAACTTGCTTTCTAGATAACTATTTGAAATATCACCACTGTTACATTATTCTCTACTGATTTTTTTGTTAAATTTCTAGTGGATAACTCTTTCTGTAATATTCTAGGAGGCTCACAACATTTAAAGTGCCTCAAATTATTACTATGACCTATCTCCCCTAACCACGTGTTTCCCCCTAACATACACTTCTACAAGGAAGAAGAACCCACCAATATCTGGAAAATCTGTCTCCACTGTTACCTGGTGAATCACAGAACGTTCCTTTATACAGCTAAAACAGAGCCTTAAATGATTTCTGTGGCTTACAGTTTCCTATTTTCATCACTGTGACGTTTAATTGAGTGATAATTATTTTAACAGATCAAAATTCCAAAATTTAAATCTTTCACTTTGTCAAGAAGTTAGATGATTCAAACTATATTCAATTAGTTTAAGAAAGAAATATCCAGATTTAACTGTCATAACTTAAGACACCAAAAGTGTTACAGAACGTAATATTGAATACATGAGGATAAATGAGTCTATATGCACAATACTGTTTCCCTCCAAACTGAAAGACATGACTCATGAAAAAGGAATTATGCCTATACGGAGTCATCATTTTGTACTGAAACATCAAATGTCAAACTTGTAATGGAAAAATGTACTCTTCTATTGCAATTTATATTTCAATTTTCGTTTCTGAAACCAACCGTGTATAGAGAAAAGATTTAAGAAAGATACTCTTGAGGGTTAGCAGACATTTGGAATCAAAATAAACAGAAAAGTTACCAAATTTTGAAATACTAAAAAATAAACATTTTATTAAGGAAAGTCTGAAAAACATGTGCACCAAAAGTGACTACTAATGCTAAATAAAAAACCTTCAAAAAATGTGTACCACATGATTCAATTTTTTAAACTTTATATATAAAAGCTATATTATAAATACAAAGCTAAACTGTTAGAGTACTAACAATACTGTTCATATAAAGAAACTTAACAGTAGTAAAATATGAATACATAAGATGCTTATTTTTGGTCCTTTTGGAAAAAAGAACTAAGTTGTTTTTTGTTTTAAATACGGCTTCAGGCACAAAAATAGAATATAAGATGATAACTGCAACATTCTTAGTGTTTATCCTTGTAATTCTTTAAATGTCACCAGTCATAATAGCAATGAATTCCTCTTGATTTACTGTGGTAAGAAAGAAAATGTAAGTCAGAAATACAAATTTTTTTCAGAGAACACTATTACTATTTTACTAAGTAACTTTAAATTTTATATTATACAAAATTCTTAATAAACCAAAACATAGCTTTTTGCTTTTACTTCTTTGGTAGGAAGTTGAATACGTTAATTAAATTGAACTTCATGAATACAAAAATACATAAAATATAATAATATAAATTAATATTCTATAGTATTAGCTAGGAAAAAGACATACTAGTATATAAATTACAAAAAATCCATCATAATCATAATATTTATACACAAGAAAATAGTTTTAAAAACTTAAAATTTTAAATTTCTTAGATAGTTAAACTCTCTTGATAATCGTTATTGTACTAGTTCATTTATCAAACCCTTTCTTAATAAATAAGCTTAAATATATCACACACGTAAGTTAGAATTCTGAAGGATAAAAATGTATTAGAATTAGAAAAAAAGTCAAATCATTGTTTTTTGGAACTTTTATATATTTAAAAGCCTATTTTAAAGAAAAACTAATTGAAACATAGTTAAAGAAAAAAATACTGCAAAAAATAAGCTATAAGGAGTTAAGAGGAATGAGCCGTCCAGGAGCTGATAAATAACCAAGAATTCATGCATTCAATATGAAACATCTACAAGACACTATGATAGACACAGAACAGAATACAAAACCTGTAATACAAAACTGAAAATACTTTCAGTGATTTTATAAATTGTAGTACTGATCTTTAACCTTTGCAGTTAAACGAATACATTTCAGTATCTTATGAAAGCTATGACCCCTCTCTCCCTAGTTAAAAAAAAGAAAATCAAAATATATAAAAATTTTAAACAATTTCATCAATATGTACCTTCATTTAAGAACCCCTGATTTAGAAAAATCTAGAGTGAGGCATCTAGACCAAAACAGGAAACAAGGGTATATTTTTAAGAAAAACAACATAAGGAAAGCAGCCTTGGAATGATCTGACTACACATTATTTTAATAGCATAATAAAGCCATGATTAAAATATTCAAAATCTGAAAAGTACTTATGTTTTGTTACTTAAAGATCTAAAACTTTTTTCCCTCAATTTGTAAACTCTCAATACTCAAATTCCAAATTAAGCTTCATATAGTTCTAAAACAAAGCAAATCAATATTTATGTTATTTATATGTAAACACTTTAAAGCACTGTAGCATTTCAGAAGTATTTTAAACTATTCCATAATTTCATACCTAAAAACAAAATACTTAAGTCCAAAAAAGTGAACCTAAAAGCTGAAGGGAAGAAAGTGGCTAAGGAATTTAAACTAGGTCCTTTATCGTCAGTGAGACTTTCAGACCATTAGGAGAATCTGTGATGCCTTTATACATTTGGTTTTATAACCTTCTCTATCAATCATACTTATATGAAGTTCCTTGATGTAAGGAACACAATACCTACCTTAAAATAGGCATTTGATAAAATATATATTGAATCAAAAATATGACACTTCATTTTTTTCTACACTGCCTTTTTAAATAATATTTTCATAAATCAATCATTTCATAGGGTAAATCTTATTACATGCCATTAAAATAAAAAATTTTAGAGAAATTAAGTACCTTAGAGACCATCTGGCTTTGAGGGGAAAAAACAAATTTTAATATCTGAAGTGTCAGTTGAATATTTTACTAACACACTGTTTCCTATAATAGTATGCAATTTTAAAAATTCCATAAACATAGAAACCTAATTAATATTTTACTTTATAGCACAAGAGGCAATACAGTGTTATGGCTAAAAGCATATAGTCATTATGGAGGTATGAGTTTAAGTCTGGCTCTGCCATGTATTAGCTTTGTAATAACCTTGGACAGGTTATTAAACTCTCAGAGCTTTAGTTTCCTCATCTATATATATGCATGTATCCTATGCATAAATGGGTATAACATTGTATTCACTTCACAAAAGCTATTATGTAAATTAAGCGACATAATCCACAATGTAACATGCTAAGCACAGAATCTAACATATATAAAGTACTAAACAAATGTTAACATTCATCATAATTATTTAGAAGATGGTCCACTTTGGTTTTTTAAATGTTGCTTCCACTTTTCCAAAATGATTTACTATATTTTATTTTATATATCTTGGGAGGGATTCTTTCTATATCATTACCACAGCTGTATTTATATTTTGTATTATGTCTTCTTTTCCTTTAATTCCTCATTCACCATGTTTATTATTCTATACATACAATAAAAAAAAAATTTTTCATTGCTCTCAAATACTGAAGTGTGAAAAACTCGTAAAAACAGAACAATTACTGAAGTCCAAAAAAGGTAGCAAAGTTTACGATCTTTACCAGTTTAACATATACAAAGAAAGCAGGTTAGTTATATCTAAGAAAAATTCTGCCTACAGTCCAAAAAAAAAAAAACCAGATTAAGTGATCAGATTAATAAATTATTATAAAATCTAACTTCCTACTTTTTCAAAAATGGGCAGATTTTCAGATAGCTACAGAAACCCAATATAAATTAAGGCAGTAACCCAAAGCCACACTAAATAGATTAGGGTTGGAGTTCTCATTGTTTCTGAATATGAAAATGCCTTTCAATAATAATTTTCTGGACTTGCCACAATAACAGCTATCCTTAGTATATCTCGTTTGAGAAGTAGATAATGTCAAATAGCTATATAAACTCTGCAATCAATCACAATAGCATTTAAATATAACTGAAAAAAGCAGTATATGTATGCATGTGCAATGCTATTATTCGTATGGTCTACAGACAATATTTGATGCATACATGAACTCCCAGACCCTGCACAACACCTCAGAAGGCCTCCACCCCTAGATACCCACATCTCAGATTGGAAACTACTGGATTAGACTACTTTAATATGATAAGACCACCCTCCTATCCTCCCCAAAAAAGACAAGTCTTAACAATAAAAGATGTGTCAGGTGTATTTTATTTGTAATCAATCACTTGGAAAAAAGAAAAAAAAGTGTTATTTGCCTGTTATTTTATTTGTAATCAATCACTTGGAAAAAAGTAAAAAAAAGCGTTATTTGCCTGTTAGTCATGTGAATAAATGACAGTAAGATGCCCAAGCAACAGTTGTACAGTGACTTAAAGTGGAATAATGCAAGCAGTGAGGACCAAAGAAATGTTTTAAGGATGTACTAAAATAAATCTCCCAGCAATGGAGCACAGGTGTGAACTCAAATTCAAAAGCAGCAGGTAGAGCAGTCTAGCAAGGTATGCAAGAAACGGACACATTTTCTAAGAAAAGTTTCACATGAAGTTTGAATTTAAGAACAGGTTACTAACTGGTATTTTATTCTAATGTCAAATGAAGCTAATAACTAAAACCTAACTTGCATGAGCCTAGTACAGGAAAAAGAAACTGTTTATAACTCTGGTCGTTTGACACATATTAAGTAGCTGGAGTATGAAAAAGACACACCAAGATCCTCTCTACCACTGAAGAGAGTACCTTTACATAAAGGAACTCATTTAAAGCTAATTTAGGGTAATAATCAACAGCTAGGGAAGACACAAACATTTTTTAACTGTGAAGACAGCGGATTATAAATCCAAATATTAGAATTACAGCTTAAGAAGTCCTTTAAGTTTTCTCAAGTTTTAATCATCTCTGTTTTAAAATATAACTAACTATATCGATACCCTTCAAAGAGCTAGTACTAAAAATAGAAAAGTTGTATAATGCTTAAATAATAGTCACATAAATATAATGAGAAAGCACAATAATGCGCAATTCTAATGGACAATCTGAGCTGATAACTATTTGCTACTGTCTTATTTCCTTATTGAAGCATCCAGTATTTCCAAGGTTTTAGATATATATATATTTTTTTTATGTAAAAATGAATAGTTGGTACTATAGCAACATATATCTACTGTAACGCACACTCCTCGCTGCTTAAGTCAACAAACGTCAGAGTACTCATCATGTTCAAGAAAATGCAGGAGAATATAAAGACGAAGAAGAAAAAGGAAAACAAGCTTACATTTAATGCTAGGCACCTTCAATTATCTTCATTTAATACTCACAACCATCCGGAAAGGTATTACCATTCTGATTTTTATAAATAGGGAAACTGAGACTCAGACAATGTTAAAAACTTGCACAAAATTACAGAGCTACTAAGTAACTGGTAGAGATTCAATTCAAATCCAGGTCTGTATGATTTTAAAGCCTCAGGCCTTTCACACTATATGATTCCAAACTGCTCTTCAATGGCTCACAATATAACTGGAGAGACACACATGTATATAACTAACAGAAGGCAGTGTACAAAAGGTCAAAATAGTTTATTTCTCTAAATGTTATGGGCTCTTAATGGAAATCTCATAATTTATAAACAGAGACCACTGAGGGAGGCTTTTGAGAAAAAGACGGAGTTTAAAATGAACCTGAGAGAACGACTAACATTTTAGCAGACAGCAATTGGCAATTAGAGCATTCTAGGATTAAAGAATAGCATGAGATGAAAGGCACAGCATAAAAAGATAGGACAGAGTATATTTTGTCAAAGTGTGTATACTATATGGGAGGTGAGGGTTAAAGTAGAAAGTAGAAGAATACAGTGGGAAATAAAACTAGATAGTTATGGTATGACAGATCATAGAAGACTTTGGACTTTACTCCATAGGCACTGAAGAATCATCCTAAGTGTTTGAACAGGAAAATGACATCACCAAACCTGCATTTTAGGAAAAGAATTCTGCTAGAACAAATTAGGAAGAGAAAAGAGGCTTACAGGCATAGAGGGCAATTAGGAAGCTACAAGAGACTGTAAAGTCAGTGAGAGCAGGGACAACATCAGCCTCTTTGATTGGGTAGCACCAGTCAGCACACAGAACACTGTACCCAGCAGGCATTCAAGGAAATAATGAACAAAGCTATGATAACATTCCTACAAAGAAATTAGGGCCTGAATTAGGACAGTAGCAGTAAACAAAGAAATAAAACAGATTAAAAATATTTGGAGGGTAGACTCAACAGAACTTAGACGTGCATGTAGGTTGAGGAAGAAGACATTAAAGGCTGAGACTTTACTGAGTGGCTGAAATTTTGGAGATATTTCACCTCAAAGAAAAGTAAAGCAGTTTCTTGAAGTGTGGAAGCTCATACTATAATCTGTACAGTTGGTTTTAAAGGTCTGCTTCATTCTAAACTGAGTATGTGAAATATTTATGCAAAAATCCCATTATAGGATGAAAAACATTTACACTAAATAGATAGTTTGCAAAGGGTCTTGAAAATCATTTGGTTTTAGAAAAAATTACTATATGTGTACAGTAGGCATATTTGGAATATATGTTTTACTTAAAACTTACTTTCTCCATCACCATCTTTATCAAATTCTTCTATCATAGCCCGAAGTTCTTCATCACTCATGTTTTCACCCAATTCTCTGGCAACACGTCGCAAATTCCTCAGGCTTATTTTACCTGAATCATCATCATCAAATAGTTTAAATGCCTTCAATATTTCTTCACGTGGATCTCTTTCCAATATCCAGTCTGTCACTATAGTTAAAAAAATATGAAAAGTAAACCTTTATAGTCTCAAAGGCATTCATTTGTGAAATCAACTAATTATTAGATGAGAATTAAAGCTATGAATCTGTCAACATTTAGTTTGACAATAAAAATGCCAAAGTCCAAAAGCCCAAAGAGATAAACAGAAAATTAGAAAAACCAAATCCATATTTTAGAATTTAACCTTTACATTATCAACAATTTATCCTATTATAAGTATAACTATATCACATATAAGCAAAATTTTGAAAACTACATTTATACCATATTTATTTAAGGTTTACTATTATCAAGAATTGTACTAGGCTCCACTGACATCAAGCACACAAGTCTAGGAGTAACCTAGTTGTAGAGATGATATATCAACAAAACAATTAAAACCAACTAGATAAAAATTGTTTGCTGGCTAAACTTAATAGTAATACTGATTGTTCTTCAAATTTAATACAACCACAATCTCAGACAGTAGATGAAAATTCCATTCATATCCTCATGATTTAAAAGAACCTCTTGGTTTCTCAAAAGTAGTTATTAAAAGGATTGAATCTGACTGTAGTAAGAAAAAAAAAAAGGTCTGAAAAGGAGATCTCTCTAAAGTCAAATCCATTTTGTTCATCAAGATAATAACTATCAGACAGCTTAATTAAAATTAAATGTGAGTAAATTCAAGCCTCAATAGTAATAATTATTTTAAAATACTAAATGTAATAATATATAATAATAGAGTCAACTTAATACTTTCAATATAACCACAGTCTTTAATCAATAGCCATAATAACAGAAATTTTTAAATCTGTGGTATAAAATTCTTTAAGTTACTAGATAAAATTCTGAAAATATCAAAGGAAATATCTCTGAAGTAATTCTACATGCTAGTCTACCACTACAACAAGACGTATTTATGACCTTCACTGTCCCATTAAAAATAACTCAGTCCTGGGCTTCCCTGGTGGCGCAGTGGTTGAGAGTCCGCCTGCTGATGCAGAGGACACAGGTTCGTGCCCCAGTCCGGCAAGATCTCACATGCCGCAGAGCGGCTGGGCCCGTGAGCCATGGCCACTGAGCCTGCGCATCCGGAGCCTGTGCTCCGCAACAGGGGAGGCCACAACAGTGAGAGGCCCGTGTACGGCAAAAACATAAAAATAACTCAGTCCTGTTGACGTTTACAGAATCACTAAAAATTTGCAAATGCTTATAGATGGAAAATACTGGAATATTTAATGTACCCAAAAGAAAAATACAATTCAAGACCCCCACAAATAGTTGTTTTGCTGCTGTTTTCATCATATTTGGTTGAATAAGCTTTAGAATAAGCACCTATTCAAGCTAATGTTAAATCATCTGCACATATATTCAATAGTTTTCTTTTATCCATTAATTTTATACAAAAAGTCTTCCAAGTAACTAATTGAAGTATATTACTATAAGTATGCAAATCATCAAAGCTCATAAATATTCAGTTAAAAAGGAGTTGGCATATATACAGCCATAACACCAAAATAAAATACCACACTTAACTCTATGGCTCATACTCAACTTATTTTGAATTTAGTCCCAACAAAAAAGCAGGACAAGGAAAAAAAAAGTGTTAAGAAATTTTCTTCACCAATTAAATAATTTACATGACAGGTGAACCAAAAAAGCAGCTTGCTGAAAATATTAATGTATTTAAAGAAGCAACAGGGTGATCTGGGGAACAGATGGGGCTCCAAGATGTATAAATTCCTACCCCACTGGTGCTTTAATTGTGTTAGTTACTTCAGACTTATGTGTCTATATAATCTTTTATCAATACTTTGCCTTAGAATGCAACTTTTCTTTGGAACTATAAATACCCATCATTCTGGACAGCTAAAACATTGTAACTTTATGGTGACTATCCTCCATGCCTTACTCTTCTATTCTTATTCTACAAAGTAGAATTATAAGAAATACATTTATTTTTCAATGAAAATAAATCGACTGACATACAAGCAGTAAAGATGGGTTCAATCTATTTCACAAATTTCTGTCCATGTAACTCAATTTTCAAATGATTTAATTATACTCTCAAAAATGTACTTACTCAAAATAGTTAGCCCTTATACATTATAACAATCACTTAATAAAGCAAATTCAAAAACATCACATTAAAACTTTAAACCCAGTTACTTATATCCTAGAGTACTGAGGTTACCACCTTTTTTACTCTTGAATGTACCCCTTTTCTTTTTATTCTCACCACCCTCAGCATAAAAAGTCTATTACAGTTATCCCTCAGTTTCCATGGTATCCATGGGGGATTGGTTCCAGGACTCCCCTCAGATACCAAAATCTGGGATGGATAGCATTTGCATATAATCTATGTACATCCTCCTGTATACTTTAAATCATCTCTAGATTACTTATAATACCTAATATAATGTAAATGCTATGTAAATAGTTGTAAATATGATGTAAATGCTATGTAAATAATTGCCAGGCACTCAGCAAATTCAAGTTTAGCTCCTTGGAACTTTCTGGAATTTTTTTTTCCTAATATTTTCAATCCACAGAAGCAGAACCCAGGGATAGGGAGGGCCAACTGTATCTTCTGCCTGCAATCTCTTCCCTCCAACACATCTTTAATAATCTCAACAGTTACCTCTCTAAAACATATTATCTCCTCTTCTTTAAAAACTGACATAGATCATCTGCTGACTAAAGTCCAAACTCTGTGTTATGCAAGACTTTACCTAGCTGGCCCAGTCCTACCTTTCCAGTTATTTCCCTATCCTCTAGAGCAGGAGACTAACTGAAGTTTTCTGAACGTGCTACATGTCTGTTATTACTCCTTGTTGTTGCTGTTTTCTCTGCTTAGAATGCCTTTCTATACCCCTCCCACAATTTTCCCCTTGTGATGAAATCCTATTCCTGTTCCCAAAGCCTAAATTAAAAATCCCCTCTGCAAAGTCTTCAATTGCTCTAGATCAGGAATTGACAAACTTTCCTGCCAAAGACCAGACAGTAAATATTTTAGGCTATTTTTTTGGGGGGGGGCGAGGGAGCATAAGGTCTCTGTCTCAACCACTCACTCTGTCATGGTAACACAAAAGCAGCATAAAAGAATGGATGTGGCAGGGACTTCCCTGGTGGGGCAGTGGTTAAGAACCCACCTGCCAATGCAGGGGACACAGGTTCGAGCCCTGGTCCGGGAAATATCCCACATGCCGCGGAGCAACTAAGTTCATGCACCACAACTACTGAAGCCCGCATGCCTAGAGCCCATGTTCTGCAACAAGGGAAGCCACTGCAAAGAGTAGCGCCCGCTTGCCACACATAGAGAAAAACCGCACGCAGCAACGAAGACCCAACGCAGCCATAAATAAATTAATTAATTAATTAAATTTTTTTAAAAAAAGAATGGATGTGGCAGCATACAGGCAACAGCTGAATTTGGCCCAAGGGCTGCAGTATGCCACTACTGCCCTATACAAAATTATAAGTCACCACAGAGCATCATAGCTTGTTATCACCCGATTTAAATTGTAAGCTCCTTGAAAGAACCTCTTAGTAACTTGTGATTAATTCCCCTCCCTCACCCCAGCACAGTACTGAATGCCAAAAAATTCAGCAAATGTTTGCTAAGCAAAACAAAAAACAATATAATATTCTATTCTAAATAGGCAATAAAATAATAAATAGTACATGCCAAAAATAGATGAGTACAAATAGCTGACTTATCTTGGTCTTACTTTAAAGCAGCAATTCCTAAAACACCTGTAACTCACAAGTCTCAGGCTGTCTAAATTCTAAACTTACATTAAGTATATTTTAATACTTTTTTCTAGCATTGGAAAGAATATGAAGTGCCAAACTTTATCTAGAAATACCTGTAAATATCTGTGGAACAATATCCTTAAACAGTAATAGATAGTAGATAAAAAGTAAGATTCAAATATTCTGATTTAGAGTTATTTGTCCCAAACTATAAAACATATATTCATCTGTGGCCAGTTACTATTTTAAAATGATTTAAAAAATGGGGAAAGTAATAGTTTTTGATTATTTGATTCCCAAATAGTAATAAAATTTTATTTGACAGTTGATATTCTCAATAGGTAACCTTAGGATAGTTAAAGTATGTACTAAGCCTACCAAATGGTTGATCTTTGAAAGTCAGGCTGAAGTTTACTCATGACCATTTATTCTAGAAGGAACCCAGTATTTCTGTTCTGTTAATAACATAGAAGAGATGCAGGGTCAGGAAAGGTAGAGATTACATGGGACTCTGGCTTCAACTGCTAATAAAATCAAAATTTTAAAACTATATTCACCTAAGATGAAATAATGTGTTTTGTAAAATTACTAGAGGCAAATAGTGCTTAAAATAACCTACAACTACAGGAAAAGGGTAATGAGAAAAATATAAATACATGGAGCAGAATATTTTTATGTTCCAGTGATATATATATTTTCCAGCCATTGAAACAAAGACTAATTTTTGAAATAATAATACCAACAAACACTTAATAGAACTTACTACATACTAGGCCCTTTTCTAAATACTTTACATAGTTTTAGCTTAGTTATTCCTCCTAAGAACCCTATGAGATAATACAACTATCCCCATTTTATAGCTGAAAATGAGGCACAGAGAAGTAAAATGACCAAGTTACACAGCTGGTAAGTGGCAAAACCAAGATCTAAACCCAGGCAACCTGGTTCCAAAATGTCCATGCTAAATGACTACACTGTACCAAATGTACCTGAATTATAGCTCTTTCCTAGTAGTATCATTTCTACTGTATCCTGATCCTTGTTTCTGTAAACAATCTAAGTTGAAACTTGAACTAAGATCATAAACCCCAGAAAGCTTCAATACTGGGAAAATAAAGATGGCTCTCTACCTCTTCTCAAGTAAATAATTCTATGAACTAGAGAAAAAGAAAAAGAATATCCTCTCCAAAGGGACAAGCTGCCTCTCTAAATAGTCATCTATTACTTTATAAATTGGGGATCTTCTGTGCAGTGCTTTTTTTTTGTCTTTTAGATTTATTTGTTCTTTAATTTCTTTTTTCCTTCCTTTTGGTTTGAATTTTCAGATTTAAAAGAACTTACTAATGATATGAATCTATTTTTCCACACATACTAACTGCCATTTCTTTTTGTTTCTCATATTACTTCTTGTTGAATATTTATTTATTTTTTTTTTCTGTACGCGGGCCTCTCACTGTTGTGGCCTCTCACGTTGCAGAACACAGGCTCCAGACGCGCAGGCCCAGCGGCCATGGCTCACAGGCCCAGCCGCTCCACGGCATGCGGGATCCTCCCAGACCGGGGCACGAACCCATGTCCCCCGCATCAGCAGGCAGACTCTCAACCACTGCGCCACCAGGGAAGCCCCTTGTTGAATATTTAAAATAAAGGGTTTGTATGTCTGTGTGTAACTGAATTTTCCTAGATTTTTTAAATATCTAAAAATAACTAAATAATATGCTGATATTATAACCCAGTGGCTTGTTCTAAAATGTTTTCTCCTGCTCCCAGTCTGCCAACTGCCTCCCTTACTACAATCTTCTCCCCACCAGCAACTTTAAAGAGATGACTTTATTCATTGAGATCAAGGTCATCCAGAGTAGGTAGCCCCTCATAAGCTTTGTCAACCTGAAGGCATGCACTTCATATACAGCTAAAGATACCAACTGCTACCAATTTCCTCTCCTTCCACTTTGCCAACAAAAATCACATACTAGGATGGTGCTGGGAAATATTTTCCAAACAAAAATATACCAAATTTTATCTTTTACTGTGAGAAATAATTTTTTGATCACTCTTTTAGTTTTATCACATAATATAGGTACATATTACATGGAAAGACATCTTCCCAGGAGAAGCTACACAATAGTTCCTTGGTTAAAATCTTCAGAACAAAAGACAAAAAGATAAATCCCATTTACAGTGAAGCTATAAATCTTATTTTTTTCTTTGAAAATTAGCAAAAAAAAAGAGTACCAAAAAAACCCCAAAATAAGATCCACATTACACAGCAATGTTCAATAGCAAAATTCCATAACCCAGAGACTTCTAAAAATATTGATAGTAACCAGATAATTTCCTAATAAACTACTGATTACAAAGACTATTGTAAAATAGTCTTTACAATATTGTAAAATACACACCAACTTCATTAAAATCTTCAAAGGTGATTTTCCCTGTGGCTTCTCTGTCATAATCTTTAAGAATCTTCAGTACATCAGCTTTTTTTACATCAAACCCCAAGGCTCTCATTGCCACCTTTTGGATTAAAAGGGAAAAGCAAATTATAAACATTTTTTACAAAAGAAGTGAATTCCAGTTCTTAAATAAGTTTTTACTACTTAAAAGACGACAACACATCAATAAAACACACACTCTTTTGCATGTTTTATGTCTCTAAAGTAACAGTGATAGTTCTTCTTCATTACTGAAATTAAATAGCAATTTTTTTCATTTATATATCCTTTTTTTAATGACAAACTAATCAGTGAGTGTTTATAGAATACATTCTACAATGTACTGACTTCAGTGCACAGATAATTTTAATAAGTTATTTTTTCTCAAAGGATTAACAAATCCAAAAACAGGCACACCATAAATATTAAAAAGTTATATCACAGAAGAGATTAAAAAAATTCAAATAAGAATTTTCATCAGACTCAACATGATTAGTTATCAAGTAGGTGGTCTAAGAACCTGACCTTAGAAAAAGAAGAGATCTAGTTACTAGTAACAGGAAGGAGAGATGTTACTGGTTAAAGAAGTCTTATTTGGAGAGATTCAAGTTGTTCCTTGAATCGTATATGGATGAAGTAGAGTAGAAGGGCATTTAGAAAAGAATGACTAGTATTAAAACACACACAGAAATAAAAAATAGTCTTAAATTCAATGAACAAAGCAGTTTACCTTACCTGAATGGGAAAAGATCAGGCGGAAGAAAGCAGCTAGCAAATGAGAAAAGTAGGTGGTAGTAAAAGTGTGGAGGGCATTCAATACAAATGGAAAAAATCTGAACTTTATCCAGTGTACAATGAGGAGCCACTAAGGGTTTATGAGCAATGAATAATATGATGAAAGAATTTTAGAAAGACGAATCTAATGATAGTGTACAGGAAATGGAGAAACCATTTAGGAAGTCCCAGATATAAAATAAGATCCCAAACCAAGATAATAAGAATAGCAACAAATGGAAGAGACATTATAAAGGAAGAATGGATTGAAGCTGGGTAACTAAAGGAAACAGGGGAAAAGTGAGCTAAAGAGATACAAAAATACTATCTTTCGCATTGTGCTGAGTTTAAGACCCAAACTACCTTCAACACCAATTTCCCCTTGGTTCTTTATAAATAATTCTAAAACCTAAAATTGACATTTTTTCCCCATTAGCATTGTGTCAACATCAGACATCACTTATGTTGTTTGCACCAGAGAAAATAGGTTGAGACTGTTAATAACATGTTCAAATTAAAAAACAAATAACACTCCCTCAATCTGAAAAATCAAAACCAAAACAAAACAAAACACAGTGGGAAGAGGAATATAGTTAGAACTGTTTAAAACCTATAGTTTCAAATTTTTTAAGTATGGGAGTAGAAAATAAGCCCCTCCATAGGAATATATTTTTACAGTTAAAATATTATTCATTTTACCACGTGAAAAGGAGTTTCTAAAAAGATATGTTTTGAGTACTATTCAATTTTATTATAGCACTTAACGGTAAATGTTTAAAATGGTTTCATATTTCCAAAACCAGTTTAATTAAAACATTTAAAAATATATTTTTAATCAACTGTCAAAAATGCAAATCATTTTAACAGAAAAAGATATATTTTAAGTATATTACCTTTAATTCATGATAATCTATTGCTTCATCTTTGTCTGTGTCAAAAAGTTCAAAAGCATCTTTAATTTCTTGTTTCTGTTCTTCAGAGAGTTCTCTTCTTTTTTTCCTCTTTGTTTTGTCTACTACAAGCTCATTTCTATGAAATGATAAGAAAAAAGTCTATTTAGTCCACTTTAATCCTATTCTCCTAGACTTCTAAATAATAAAATACCAAAAATGCAATAAAAATTAGCCAATGAATAATTTTCTAAATTTCGAAAAAGGAAGTATTTTGTAAAAATATAAAGAAATTTTCCCTACGTGAGTCAAAGCCCTACTCATTTTATAGTCTAGGCTGCTATAAATGTGTACTTCCTAAACTGAAAAGTGTTACAGGTTATTAAAAGAAATGAGGACCTAGCTTTCCCTCTTCCTAGCTTTGTATTTATTCCCCCTAATATTACTGTGGAAGAAACAAGAACTGTGAATAAGAAACACTAGTTTTATGCCAGAAACCCCAACAAAAAACAAAGCAACCATATTCCCATCATTCTACAATATAGACTGTTAAAAAAAAAAAGAATTCAATTCACAACTGATGATCACTATAGATTAGGTTTACTTTTATAGTGCTTATAATTATCAAAATCATTGTAAAAAACATCTAATTCATCAATTAACTTACTATTTTGGCATTCTGGGTTAAAAATGGTTTTAGATTACACATTTTTAACAGTTTGGCACTTCTTTGTAATTTCTCCCATTAATATTAACAAATCAGCCAAAATAATGAACCTAAGCATACCATGAATACTAAACACCAAAAAAAGTACATAATATTTGTGCTAATTCTATATAATAATGTGAAGAGTCAATAGTCTTGTAAATCTCACTTAACATATACATCTAGACTTAATTTCTCATAAACTCTGAAAAAACTTTAAGAAAGTAATTTACTGTAAAAGCCAGAAATGTGTTCCTTAAGAGGTGCCGATCTAAGTGTTCCAAATTTTCAAACGGGGCTACAAAACTTGTATAAGAACAAGTTTGGTAACGGAAGAATTCTATAAATTTAAAAAATGTAAAACCCAGTGGAGTTTATTTATTTGCATTTGAAGTTGTATTGTTCTCTGAAAACTACCCCCAAAAAGGCAAGAGACGACTAAAAATGACCAAAAGAGGTATGATAAAGCTGAGGAAGTTCTTTCACAAGAGACCTGACTTCACACAAACTTGCAACTCCCGGGGGTCATTTTCTTCCCAAGATTCTGAAGGGACAAGTTCGCAACCCACCAACAGCTGACCCCATCCAAGGATACCACGATTATCCCTTATTAGAACTCGGTACCTTTTTAGTGTGACGTAACTACATAGACATTTTTAAGGTAAAACTTCTAGCTGGGGTTGGAGGCGGAGGCAACAAAAAGTGCGTTAGAGGTTGGAACTGAAGGAAAGGTAAAGAAGCTGAAGACATTTAGGAAACTAAGAGATTACCAACTATAATCACTAAAATGTGTCTCCGATTATACCGTAAAGCATGGCCACAGGAGAAGAGCGAGGAGCGGGTTTTGTGTTATTTCCAAAATTTATGGGGAAGTATGTTAGCAGGAGGTCTGCGAGCTGGAAGCCGCTGACAAGGAACTAAAATAAGGGACGCTCCAAGGCCTGGTTTCCCGCAAACACCGCGCATAGAAACCTCGCGATATTTTACTGCCTCCTCGAGACTAAGACAGCCCAGCTTTTTGGCGGTCCAAAGCCCAACGCCTTGACAGAAATGACCACCTCAGCAGAAGTGTGCGGAGCTCACCAGAGCCTCCAGGATGAGGGGTCCGGGCCCGGGAAGGTTGGCCAAAGATCTCTCTTCTCGTCCCAAACTGCATTCCCTTCCTCGCCTCGGCCCCAAGCTGCCTCCCTTCCACACACAGCCGCCCTGGGGCCCGCGGCGGGGTGTGGAGAGCATTGCCGCCAGCTCATTACCGACCTCAGAGCTAAACTCATGTTCTCTTCGGACAGAGACGTTCCTCTCGAGAACGATTTTAACCCCTACCCAAGGCAGCACGACTTCCACAAGCCGTTCAACAGACACCAACGACCTCCGCGGCCTCAAGCACCTCCCACAAGGTAGACGTGTCTGAGCTGGATTGGTTGAAATCGCTAATGTCCTGCCCATTGAGGCGAAAGCGTCACTAGTCCTCTGCTCTCATTGGGAAAATTTCGCGTCAATCAAAGAGATCTCCCTGCCGGCCTGCCCCGCTACGCCTCCGGCCCTTTAGATTGGCCTATTGCTTTTTCTCTCTAATCCTTTGCGAAGCGAGGATTTGAGTGTCTGTTTGGCTCTTCGGTCGGACGGTGGCTGAGCTAGGCCTCAGGAGAGAAGGCCTGCGGCTTGTGGGCCAGTGTCCGGAGACGGGGCGGGAAGGGAAGAGAGACGCCGCAGGCTGTCCTCTGGCTAGAAGGAGGGAGAGGCTTACGAAAGAGGTCTGCGAAATTTGACTGCCTTGTGTTCTACATTTTTGGATGGTTTAAGTACATGGGGAGTTTGTTTAAAACGCAGATTTAAATATCCCTCATTTTGATTCTAGTAGGTGTGAATCTTAAGTTTTTTTTTTCCTTACAAATGCCAAGTGATTCTGAGGCAGGTGCTATGGATTATACTTTGATAAGCACTGGGTTGAATTATTAGGCAATTTACGGTGGAGCTGTACCTAAAGGGCCGTTTGCTCCCCTCTTCCTCCTTTGAACGTTTTTGTCCTTATTTTCAAGGTCTGTAAGCTACTTATACACATGATGTTACCTTCACTTACCTAACCAAGTCTCTTGAAGCTCACTTGGGTATTTAATATCTTTACCTGTTCATCTCTCCTACTAATCTTGAAGGCCAGGATTATACCTTTCATTTAACGCTATTCCTAGATGCTCAATAAATATTTGTTGCACTGAATGGAATCTTGCTGTGAAAACTCACAAAGTACTGAGCTAAACTGAAAATCTCATAAAGGAATGAAATTGCCTGAGGGTAGGTGTCGAGCCGGGGAAGGAGGAAGATATATAAACCCTGTGGTATAAATATAAAGGGATACATGTACAGATTTAGAGAAGGGAGAGAACACGGCAGGGTAGAAGAAAGACTTCTTGAAGGAGATGACATATATGTTAGGCCTAGAAGGATGAGCTAAATTTGGTTAAGTAAAGATGGTATGATGGAATAAAGCTAAATAAAAATTAATATTTACAGGATAGCCCCCCGAAAAAACAAAACTGGAAAACTTCAAAGTGTCTTTGTAAATCACCTTTGAGTCTAAAAGGACAGTAGAATTGCAATTACATACTTGAACATAATGACAATGAAAAAATTATGTATTAGAATTGTAAGATAGAGACCAAGCTATAGAAGAAAATTATTATTAAATACGAATGAAAATAAACCAAACATTTATTTGAATATTTTAGAAATGAAGAACAAAATTAATTGAAATTAGGAAGAAGAAATTACTAAAGATAAAATGACAACAAAAGAATTAGAAAACAGGTTTTAAAAAGAAAATTGTTAGGGCTTCCCTGGTGGCGCAGTGGTTGAGAGTCCGCCTGCCGATGCAGGGGACGCAGGTTCGAGTCCCGGTCCGGAAAGATCCCACATCCTGTGGAGCAGCTGGGCCCGTGAACCATAGCCGCTGAGCCTGCGCGTCCGGGGCCTGTGCTCCGCAATGGGAGAGGCCACAACAGTGAGAGGCCCGCATACCGCAAAAAAAAAAAAAAAAAAAAAAAAAAAAAGTGTTAAAATAGTAAATTGGTAAGATATTCTCATAATCCAATAATAAACTGGTTTTTGGCAATACCAATAAAATTGACAGAGAAGTGTAACAGGTAAGGGAATATTGTCACTAATAAAGTTGGTAGTTTAAAAGGGAGGTTTAAAAATTATTAAAATACTTTATACAACTTCATTCTGCCAATAAATATTAATACCAAAATGAAATAGTCACTTTTCAAGGAAAACAAAGATAAGGACTCAAAAAAGGTAGAAAACTGATTTAGGTTAATAGCTATAGACAGGACTTAAAAATGATGCCAAAGTTCTGTATCACAAAATAAAAAGGCATCCAGCCTACTCAGATGTATGGGTGAGTTTTAAAAATTCTTAAAGAGCTAATTCTTGTGCTTTAAATCCAAAGCATGATGGAGAGCTTCTTAGCTTAATTTTTGAAACTAGCACAACGCTTAGCATCTTAAAAAGCATTTAAAGTACTGAATGCATGCTCCATGATGAGAGTGTGTGCATGTTGCTCACCATTGTATGTGTTGGCCTCATATTTGATATTCATTAGTGAACATATGTGCAAAAGTCCTAGATAGTGACAAAATGAATTTGGCATTGTCTTAAGGAACATTTCACTATAACCAAGTAGTGTTTATTTTTAAAATATATAGTTCAAAATGTAAATCTGTAATAATTAATCATAACTAATTTATCATAATTCTAGGTTAAGGTGATCATCTCAAATGTCAAAAAAACACTGGAAAATACTCAATACCCATTCCTAACAAAATACATATTAATAAACCAAGTATAAAAGATACTTTTTTTTTTAACATGACAAGTAATGTACCTAATAAAATGTTAGTGTTTTTCACACCTGGTCTCTGAAACACTAGAATTTTGTGAGATGTTTACGGTCATTTCGTGGAGAATGGGTTTTGTGGGCAAATAATTTGGGAAAATAGAATATGGTAATCAGAATGATAGGTCCAGAGCCAGAGCCAAAAGTAGATAAAACTCCTGATTTAAGAAGATAGTAGCATTAGTATTTGTTTAGTCTTCCTCCTGAAAGCTTAATGAAACAATAGTTGAGAAATTAATTTCTAATACTGAAGTGACCTGGAGAAAAACCATCAGCAGACAAGATATTTCGAAAAATATTTGAAAGATCTAAAGAGACATGGAAGCCTGTTAACAAATGACACAGATCATCAAAGTGGCATCTCAGAATTTGCAGGAGATGACTAAAGGTTCAGAGAGAGTTGATCTGACTGGCAGAGTCCCAGAGAGACCCTAGGATTAGAGTTATACAGTAGAGGGTGGAAATGAGAAGAGGGCTAAATACAAAATGTAAATTTAGAAGCTCTTTAGGAAACCACTGTACTTCAGTTTCTCCAGATTCCCCTCCTCATTATTCTTTCTCTTCACCTCTGTCTAGAACCTCACTCTTAAAAAAATTAATGAAAAATCAAAAACCATCAGAGATAGGAAGAAAATCAATGGCATGAAAGATAAAAATACGGAAAACAAACAGCTATCTAGGAAGACTGAGCTTAGGAACCAAAAGAAATTCATAATAAATTAATAATATTAAGCTTTCTAAGAGGTGGTCAAGAAAATACTGTATTGGAGGATGGGATACTTTGAAAAAGGAACATCCTGACAGTAAGAAAAGACTTGAAAATAAATATGATTGCAGAAATTAAAATTTTAATACAATGGTGAGATGGTTTAATTGAAATATTTCAGAACATATAGCATTCAGACAAAAACATGGAAAAATTGAAAAAATGTGGAGGATTAATTCAATAGGTCCATCATATGATTAATAGGAATTCCAGAAAGAGGGAGCAACAACTGGAGAAGAGGCAGAAAACTATCAAAGTAATAAATACTTGAAGAAAAATTTCAAGGTACTGAAGAGTAGCACAAGTCTCCAGATTGATAGATATTCCTAGCGCTGAACAAAATAAATGGTAAAGAAACCACACCTAGCCACATCAACAAGACATTTCATAAATCAAAAAGAAAAGAAAAAGGCCTAAAAGCTTTCAGAGACAAGAATCTGATCTCCTATAAAAGAATAATAATTGAATTAGCATTAGATTTCTTATCAGAAACATTAGATAGATGACAATACCGTCAAAATTGTAAGGGGAAATTATTTGAATTTAGGATTCTATTCCCTGTCAAGACAAAAATCAAATGTGAGAACATAATAAAGATTTCAGAAAATTCAGTCATCATTTATGCTCTGAGAGGTATACTCCATAAAAATGAGTGAAATAAAAAAATAAGATAGACATAAAAGACAAGAATTATAACCTAGTGTGGGAGGTAGAATGGCTCACCAAAAATGTCCATGCCCTAATTCCTGAAATTTGTGAATATGTTATATTACATGGCAAAAGGAACTTTGCAGGTGTAATTAAGGTTACTGACCTTAAGATCGGGAGATTCTCCAGTAGGCTCAGTCTAATCTAATGAGCCCTAAAAAGCAGGGAACTTTCTCCATATTGAGGCAGAAGAGGTCAGAGAGATGTGCATAATGAGAAGGACTCAATCCACCATTGTTGGCTTTAAAAAGAAAAAATGATGTTATGAGTCAAGGAATGTGGGCAGCTTCTAGAAGTTGAGACAACCTCCAGCCAACAACCAGCAAGGAAACAGGGACCTCAGTCCTACAAAAGCATGAAACTGAATCCTGGCAGCAACCTGATTAAGCTTGGAAGCAGATTCATCCTCAGAGCCTTCAGAAGGGAGCACATCACTTCTGACACCTTGATTTAGGCCTTGTGAGACCCTAGCAGATAACTGAGTTGAACCACACTGTACCTAGACTTCTGACCTATAAAACTGAGACATAGTGAGTGGGTGTTGTTTTAAGCCATTGAATTTGTAGTAATCTTTTATGGCAGCAAGAGAAAACTAGTATGTTTCATAATTCAATGAAAAGAGAAAAGGTGAGATACAAAAGGCTTAGAAGGCAATTAGTCTAAAATAAATAGACAGACACCTAGAATGTTTTCAAGAAGAAAAATTGAATGGATTGCAAGCAATAGATAGAAAAAATATATGTGTAAAAGACAAGTATGATAATAAAACCAATAAAACCCCAAAAATACAAAGATTAAAAAATTGAAAGGCAAATAATGAAGTAGGAAAAATATTTGCAAAATACATGAAGGACAAGGAGGTGTTATTTTTTATAATTGAAAACTGTTTACTATGCAATCTGACCTTGACATGTTCCAAACAAGAAAGAAGTTTATTTTCTTGTTCTCCAATACTGCTTTCAAGTATATTTTACCCAATCTCTCCTTCCGGTTGCTTTCTGTCTAAGGCATATCTTATAGCTTTCTT